AGCGCGTCAGGCCCCGCCCACAGTGACCCCGCAGGCCCCGCCCACGCTTAAAGCTCCCTCCTTGGCGCTAGGCAAGGTTGGGAACCCAGGTGATGGACAGCTGTGCTCGGGTTGTCCGCTGTTGCAGGGGGTCCTGCACACTGGAGACCTCGTCTTTGGGGACAGAAAGTTCCGCTCACTTCGGGGATCCCCCAGTCCTGAACCCCAACAGCCTTGCAGGCAGGAAGAGCTCCGGGGACCTGGAGTCATGAGGTCTGGGGGGGACCCTTACACCTGCTCTCTCCCCATTACCAAGCCAGCCCTGATGGGGTCCCTCGTGCAAGTTTTACTTTAAATTGGGGTTTCATGTATCCCAGGCTGTCCTAGAACTTACCAGATAGCCCAGGTTAGTCTTACTTAACTGGCTTTGCAACCAAGAATGACCTAGAACTCCTGATCCTTCTCCCTCCACCTCCTGGATGCTGGCAGGGACAGGCTTGGGCCACCCCACCCAGCTGGTGCAACGTTTTTATGATCTTCTGTTTTTCGACAGGATCCCACTCTGTAGCCAAAGCTGATCTTGAATTCACTCACTGAAATCCTCCTGCCTCAGCCTTCTCCCTAGGGTACTGAATGAAGTGACAGGTGTTTCCTAAGACACCTCAGGTACCAAGGGATGACTCTATTCTTTCCCCTGCCCCCAAACCATGCCATTGCTGACAAGCTGGGGAGGCTCTGGAGCCTTGGGTTCTCCGGGGTAGTCCTTCCCTCCTGTTCTCTCAGTGCAGCTCAGAGCCCTGCAGGTCTGTGGCCAGGAAGTGGCTGGGACCTGGTGACAGTGCTGAGCCCCAGCAGAGCCACTCACATCTCAGGATCAGCCGCTTCCTACGGGGACCACTTGACACAGTGAGCGTCCAGTTGTAGAGGTGAAGCCAGATAGGACTAGCCTGGGATGACACACACATAAGTGGGTTCCAAGAGACACCACAGAGTGACAGGCCTTTGCAACCCTGGTGGGCCCTAGGAGCACCCTGTTGTCTCTAGTCTCTAAACCTCCTGCCTCCCAGGTCACCTCACAGGCCCTTCTCACTGACTGTCACCTGCATGAACCACCCAGGAATCTCTTTTTTCCCCCCTGAGGCCAGCCTAAGACTCACTGTGTAGCTGAGAATGACCTTGAACTTTGATCTGCTTGTCTTTATCTCTCTGGTCCTGGGATGACAGGCATGTGCCATCAAGCCCCATTTATGCTGTAGTACCAATGGTGGAAGCAGGGCTTCCTAAACACTAGGGAAGCAGTCCACCAGCTGAGCCAGAAGCACTCATCATCTAAGCTATTCGCATCCAACCTACATCTTCAGCCTCTTTAATGACCACCGACTGACCAAGCTACCCCGTGTTCCCAGGGGTACAGTGTTGTTTGTCACGACCCATCCAGCCCGGCTCCAGGTCCCTATCTCACCATGCATCGCCATGGTGCCCGTGACCACCTTAGACTATCACACTGACCGCCTTTCACACTCAAGTCCAACAAAGGAATCCAGAGCCTAAGCAGCCACTTCTGCCTCTGAGCGGCATTGCCTTTTTCTCTTGGGGCCACCCTGCCTTCAAGCAGCCCCTCAAGGAAGTATCCTAGCAACCATTTGGGCAGCCCTCAGGCTTTCAGGAACCTCAGCCCTGGGGACCCATGAGGCTGGTGGTGTCAAAGGGGCAGGGAGTGAATGGCTGCACCTTCATCGTAGGCCTGGGCTCCAGGACGACATGGTGGGCAGGAAGGAGACTTCCTGAGGAGTCACAGGTGCACGTGACAGGCACTTGAGACACCACTGGGACCCCCGTGACAGGAAACAGCCTTGCAAAAACTGTCCTCCCCTGGGGCCCGAAGGTTGAGCCAGCAGCCCAGGGAAAGTGACACTGGGAACCTGGTCAGGCCGGAGGCACCCAGAGACAGGGCTCACGCAGAGGTGGCCTGCTCCCTCCATTCCTCACCAGTACGACACTTCTCAAACTCTGAAATCAGCCGGGTGAGAAGGCACACACCTGTCACTCAGAAGCTAAAACCAGCCTTCCCTACATACACAGGAAGCCATCCTTGGCTACAGCCATCTCAAACCAAAAAAACGGCAAAGGTGAGACAGTTGGTCATGGCTGCACTGAAGCAGAGTGTGGAAAGGTCCTGGAGCTGGAGGGGAGAAACAAGTCACACAAGGGGGGCACACTTCTTAGGGAGCTGATTCTGGGTTATCTGGGGGCTCAGAGGTCTCGGATTCGCCCATCAGTGCGCCTTGGGCCCCTCCTGTATATAGAGCTTGTACTCTCAAGGACAAAGAAGACCCCCAACAAACCAGACCTCAAGTGAGAGCTGTGACCGGGCAGCACTGGTGGAGTTCGGTCCCCAGTCCCCTCAGGAGGCAGCCCCCAGCCGTCACACACACGAAGCAGCTGTGGAAGTTGCAGCCCCTCACCTTGCAGCCAGCGGGGACTCCCTCTGTCCCTAAACAGTGCTGAGGCCACCGACGGCTTCCCACAGGCACAGCTCTGTGAATATCGGCTTCACTTGGAAAACCCAGCCACCAGTTGCAATAGCAATCCTGTGCAAACTTGCACTTCTGCCCCAAACTTCATATTGTGACCTTATTCAGAAGTAGTACTTGATTTTTTTTTTTTTTTGCTTTAAGAAAAGTTCTCAGTTTGTACTGTGTCACAGTGCCAAGTGTAGGGCCACATGTATAGTGACAGCTATGCACTGTTTGTTGATTGACTAATATTGATCCCACGACTGGCCTGAGATGTCAGTCAGGAGTGGAGACTGGAGGTCGGTGGTAGTGTCTTTTGGACTTGCCTTAACTCCACCCTCCAGGCTGTGAGACACTGAGCAGGTCACCAAGCTCTTTGAGCTGGCTGCCCGCTCCTGCTGAGAGGGCAGAGAAGTAGGCACCGGCCCCAGCCAGTGTTGTCCTTACTTTATCGTTACTGTTTCCCAGGCCTTTTTCCTTTTGCAGTTGTTTTTATAGGGTTTTAGTTTTTTTTATTTCTTCCTTTGTTTTGTTTTGTTATTTTGGGGGAAAGGATCTCACTATTTAGCTCTGGCTGTCCTGAGACTCATTCTATAGATGAGGCTGACCTCAAACTCACAGCCATCCTCCTGCCTCTGCCTCCTGAGTGCTGGGATCAAACCATTGCCCAGCCCTTGGTTTCATGTTTCAGGATAGGGTCTTATAAAGCCCAGACTGGCCTCAGATTCACTGTGTAGCCAAGGATAACCTTTAACCTCAGATCTTCCCGGCCCCTTTTCCCACATGACTAGTTTTTGCAGTACTAGGAATGGAAGCCAGGGTTTTGTGTGGATCAGGCAAGCACTCTACTGAATGAGTAGCAGTCCAGCCCTTTTAAAATAACTAATTGAGGGTGGGGCGGTGGTGGCATGTGCCTTTAGTCCCAGAACTTAGGAGGCAGAAGCAGGAGGATCTCTTGAGTTCAAGGCCGCCCTGGTCTCCAGAGTGAGTTCCAGGACAGGCAGAGCTGTTTCACAGAGAAACCCGTCTCAACCCCTTCCCCCAAATTAACTGAGAGGGCTTGATGCCCATAGGGCATCTCACAAATAGCTGCAACTCTAATTCCAGGTGTTCTGCTGCTCTTTTCTGGCCTCCGAGGGCAGACACAGGTGCACACATAAAATGAATCCAACTCTTGGGGGGATGGTAGGGAAGAATGGGAGGGACAAGGGAACTGGGATTGTCATGTAAAACAATTCTGTTTCTAATTCAAATAAAAACAATAACAAAAAAAGAAACCAACTCTTAAAATTTTGTTGTTTTTGTTTTTGTTTTTGTTTTTGTTTTTTTTTGTTTTTTGAGACAGAGTTTCTCTGTGGCTTTGGAGGCTGTCCTGGCACTCGCTCTGGAGACCAGGCTGGCCTCGAACTCACAGAGATCTGCCTGCCTCTGCCTCCCGAGTGTTGGGATTAAAGGCGTGTAACACACCCTACTCTTCCCATGTGTACTGTGGATAGGATCCCCGGTTCTCTTCACCACCGAGCCACTTCCTCCTGTCTTTGCTTTTCTGTTGCAGTTTTTGAGGCAAAGTATCAGTCTGTAGCCCATGCTGGCTCCCACCTAAAATCCTCCTGATTCTGCCTCCCAAGTGTTATGATGAAAGGCCCTTAACCTCAGGCCTGGCAGTCATCAACTCTCATACCCGGAAAGGTAACCAGGGCTGGGAAACTCACCCTGGGGTTCAAGGGGCTCTCGAAGCCACCAACCTGAGGCCTGTGTTCTTCAGTACCTCGAAGTTGTCCCTCAGCCGTGGCTCTTTTTTTCTGCACCTGTAAGGATCAGATATAGGTACCAGATGGGACAGGACCACAGTGTTCCTTTTTTGTTTTACTTTGTTTTTGTTTTCCAGACAGGGTTTCTCTATGTAGTCCTGGCTGCCCTATACCTCACTCTTGTAGACCAGGCTGGGCTCAAACTCACAGAGATCTGTCTGCCTCTGCCTCCTGAGTTCTGGAATTAAAGGTGTGCACCACCACTGCTCAGCTAAAGATCTATTGACCCCTGAGTTCTTTAAAATTAGTGGCTTTAGCCAAGTGTGGAGACCACAATGTGAACCCAGCATTCGAGGCAGGAAGATCTCAGGTTCCAGAGCAGCCTGAGTGTCCAAGTAAGATATTGTATTTAAAAAGTCAAAGAAACTAAAAGAAGATCAAATCAATCAATCAATCAATCAATCAATCAAACAAACAAACAAACAAAAAACCCAAGCTGGACAAGGTGGCCCACTCTTTTAATCCCTGCACTGAGGTGGGCAGAGAAAGGACCACCTCTAAGTTCAAATCCAGCTAAGCCACGAGACTTTCTCCCAAAATATGATGAAATGCTTCATTTGTCAAAGAGGTCTTGGGTGTTCCCAAAGCTACCCCAGGCCCACGCCAGAGGCCTGTCTTCCCCCTGAGCCTTGTGCTTTGCATACTGCATGTTTCGAGTTTCCTTTCCACCTCTTCTTCGATATGAACTTCAAAGTGACATTTCTCTCTTCCTAGGACGAAGGCAAGGGGCAGCCAAGGGCACTGCCCCATCCCTGCCTCAATGCCCCCCCACCGCGCGCCCCGCGCAGGTTTCAGGTAGCCCCCAAGCACCTTCGAAGCCAAGTCTGGGGACCCTAATTTAATCCCCCTAATTCCTAGGAACCAGGTTGAGAGGCTTCACACCCCACGCTTAGGGATGAAGGTAAGATGGGAAAAACCCAGACAGGCCTCCTTCCGTGGGAGGCTAGGCTCACGACTGCTCTGCCCGCTGCCTTGCTGGGTGACCTTGGGTAAGTACTAGCCCTCTCTGGACCTCCCAGCTACCCACTTCAGGGGGCTGATGCCCAGAAAGTCAAAGAAATCCTACGTATCTGGCAGGTCATCTCCGAGGCTCCCACCCACCACGGGGATGGGGAGGGATCCCCGCCAAACATAGAACCAGTGTCTGAGGAAGGGGCCATGGAGAGTCTCGAGGAGTGCCACGCTGGGTGACTGGCAGTCCCCAGGTCCACAACCTCACCCTAGAGCTCAGCCCTCTTTCCCAGGGACTCCGAGGTCGTTTGGGGTCAGTCCAGCTCGGGGTGGTCTGGGGGAAACGAAGGAACGGATACCCGCGGTTCCCGCAGGTCTCTGGAGCATTGGCCGGTTTAGGGAAGCCTGGTAAAGAGACACCCCCACTTCATTGCCCCGTCATCCCACTCCCGCTTCTTCTGTCTAACTCACCGGCAGTCCCGGCCTCAGCTGCTGGAGCCCCTGCGTCCAAGTGAACCGCCAGCCAGGCAAGGGCGTGAGAACTG